TTTGCACCCTCAAGTGTAAGCTTATCCCCGTATTTGGCGAGCAATTCCTGTGTCATAGCAAAACCGATCCGCTTCACACCATGATCTAACTGAACCCATAGCACATTCCCATGGCTTTTGGATTCAATGGAAGCGAAGCCAATATCAGCATCGGGCATATCAGTCTTGAAGCGCCCATCGATTCGTACCCATCTGAAGTTGGTGTGATCGCCTTCAAACGAAATGCCAGCGAGACGTCTCACAAGCGAGTGGCTGCCATCCGCGCCAACGATGAATTTACTATTCAGCAATATCAGCATGATTCTCTTCAAAACAACAGCAACATAGTGGACTGCCTGCATACCTCCTCACCGTCAGTCTCCTACCCGAGCTAGCCTCCGTTACATGTGAGACGACCTTATAATCGTCATCACAGGCCTCCTCGACGTCGAAGCTATCTAATCTCCATCCGATGTACGGCTCGCCTCCAAGCGCTACATATGCATCTCGTATCACCTCCTCCGAGTACTTCTGACGAATATTCAGACAGTAGTCCAGGAACGTGCCACGCATATGCTGGTACATAATTTCCCAGCCTCGGGCCGTCACCCGCTTGCCATCTCGGTAGGTCACACTATCGCGGGCCACGTAACCGATTTGGTTCAGGTCGTCTAATATGCCCAATTGGTCCAGCAACTCAAGCGTGCGCGGATGGAGAGTTGTTGCTCGACCATACATGGCTTGTTCAGCTTTGTCATGTTGCTCTGTGCCGAGCAATCAGTGAAGCTTAGCCACTTGGGGGGATTCATTAGAGGGAAGAAAGTGGGAAAGTCCTTACCAACGAGTAAAGTGTCCACACCCTGTCTAGCAAGTGCATACGCAGTAAGCAAGCCAGTAGGCCCGCCACCGCTAATGAACACGTCTGTTTTTCTGGTCTCAGCCATGGACGCTAGAAATGTTCCAGTAGTATGTGACAAGAGGAAAATGGGACGTCAATGGATATAAGCAATGCGCTTGTGGCAGAGTGAATTACTTTGAACTTGGGCAATGACTCTGCGAATTCTTAAAACAGTGTATAGTGTCAGCTAAGTGTTGCACAGGAAAGCGTTAGAAACCCCTCACACATGACCTTGTCATGTGCGGGGTTCATGCAAGATCGCCTTAGAGATTGGCGTTTTTAAATGAAGGGTCAGGTAGCTTGGTAGCTCTGGACCATGTCCTGTTCCTAGGAAGTCCTCTATGTTGGCCAGGTGGCTCTCTCTTCTTCGATATTTTAATTCAATTTTTAGTAGGCTGAGCTTCATCATGCTATGGCGATCATCAGAAGAATGATGGCGCTGCCAACCAAAGGTCATCCCATAGCATCTGCATCAGAGAACTATTCACATCATCTTCACTCCAGAGAGAGTCCAATGCCTCAGAGAATTGGGTATCTAGAGCGCCTTGGCTGGAACCATCGCCAACCTCTGATCCATCGAGACTGAAGATATTCGGTGCTTTAGATAAATTTACATCATGGCCCAAGTGTCGGTCTGTAGTTTGAGGCGCAGGTTTTTCAATATGCACACTGGTTTCATGCCCTTGGCCGCCTAGCACTTGAGATAGGGTCTTCCGTAGGTTGGTGGCGCAGTTTCTGGCGGTGTTGCTGTACAGGTCCATGTTTTCCAAGCAGTCACAGCAGCTCTTCCAAGCATTTCCCAAGACTGGTTGAGAAAATCTAGACTTCATAGCAGGGGATGCCTGTGCCAGTATAAGAACAACGCCAGCCGTAAAAGCATCTAGTGATTTAATTCAGCAGCCGCCGCTTCATACTCGTCATGGGGAGCACATACAAAAGACATTGTACCACCACACACTTGCCAGTTCCGTCGTCGAGATTTCATTCATGAGATGCGACAGCTCAATCGCAGTCTCGACACATGATGCCGAGCAGCTGATACTGAAATCCACGGCTATTCTGCTTTTCAACGGTACTTGTTGGTGTCGAGGGTAGCCGCCCGCTTGACGCGGTGGCAGATTGTCACGGCAGAACTTGACGAATGTAGGACGAAGAAGCAAGATCCTCAGATGAAGAAATCTGGGGCAAAAGTCAGTGACGTATCATCAAACGATTCGCAGTAGCGTTCACCTTCCCCTCAACAGGCTGCTTTCACGACGGAATGGTCCAGCCACACCAACGGGCTGCTGTGCATCACGCCATTGTAGAGCCGCTGGGAGACTTGATTCGAATTCCAGAAGCTCCTCTTCTAAACTGAGCAAGGTCTGTGCTATCTCATTCTCGGACTTTGGCCGTTCTGACTGATCAGGAGACCCCCCGTCCTCCCAAGGCTCATAGACATCATATAGTATCTTTCTGAGTATCTTGTATAACTGCAGAGTTCTGACATAGAACTCAGCTTTTGAAAGCGTGCCCGCTGGCGATTGGCAGGCTGCTGTGCTTGAATCGAGAAGTTCATCATCAATAGCTTCTGGAAGAGGTACTGCGGAAGAATGAGTCATGGGAGGACGACCCAGCATCATGCTACTTGCACTTGGGGTTTTGTCAGTGATATGAACGTTCATAATCTGATTCACTCACAGATCAAGCATTACACATCCATGCCAGACACGCCTTCTCATCTGTATTTGGGCCGGTGTCCTAGGTCTATCGGCCTTAAGAGAATGCATTCCGAGAGATTGAGCGATTCTGCAAGCAAGGCCGATTATATTCCAGCATCTCGATGGAGATTCGCCTCCTTGCAAGTATTGCGAGGTCAATAGTAAGGTTTGTACTAGGGCTAAATCACCTTTATCAAGTGACATCACATTCAATAGTCGCTGCGAACGCTGAAAGAACTCCTCCGCTGTAGCTTGCCGCGCTGTATGATCTAGTTTAGAAAAATGGCATCCAAGAGCAAATATTATGTTCAATGCGCAATGAAACAGTGCCGGGGGCACGTAGGCATCTCCTAAACCCAGTCCGGACGAGATGGTTTCCGTGTCTGTTTCCGTATCTGGCGTCCATAAGCGCCTATAAGCGCGAAGAAAGTTTGGTTTATGAACATATGGATACAGACTGTGAATTTTATCGAAATAGAAATTTAAGAGATAGTCCGCCAGTTGTCGTGGTGGTAGATCGTAGGCTTTGACACTCAGACTATTATCAGCCACTGGTGGCATTGGAATTGATGGTGTGCCAAAAGTCGCACTCGGAACCGGATTTGTTGTTGATCGTCCTTTTTCAGGCTCTTTTGTTGCAGATTCTTTGATCTGATTCAGAAAAGACGCGACCGATGAATCACCAAAGAACTCGTCCTCGCTCTCTGAAAAGCCGAAGAGTCCGTCGGGTGTTATGCCCATTGCGGTGATTCGGCTTCGGCTTCCTCTAGAACTCCGGAAGCCCGAGGCTTGCCTTGTTCTTAGATTAGAGGCATTGTGTCCGTCATTGCTCATGAGGGCATTTTGAGGGAAAGCAGTGGGACCATCCTCTGTGTGTGCTCGCAAAGGCATGCTCCGAGAGTCAGCGGTATCGTCATTCATATTACCTTGTTGACTGACACCACCTGGTGTTCTCTGTCCAATTCTGGGTTCTACTGAAGCAAGTGGGCTTCCAGACGCAGGAATGTGGGTGGCTCTTGCAAACGCAGCTCGATCAACGGTGTGTAACCGGTGTATATACCTGGAAATGACAAGTACAGTTGGCCCGAGGCTTCGTCCACTATCCACAGCAGGGTCTTACTGGTTATCTTGAGCTTTCCTGACACTTTCCACGGGATAAGAGCACGAGGTCTCTCGTCGCTTGCATGGGCCACAGCTGGGCTCAATGCCATCGCAGCGGATTTTTCGCGCACGACATGGTAAACAGGCGAGCGCGATCTTTCTTCTTTTCCTGTACTGCTGCGACTAATCATAAGTTAGACCGACGCTGCCACTTTGTGTGGAAGCAGGTATGTACGTACCATGCTGTATTTGAGCAAGCAAATAGAAGCGCGGGGTACCCTGTCGGCAAGGTCTATGGAGAACAAGTATAAACTGCTGGGCTAAGCTAATGTGTATCTGTTGTAACTATACAGACAGAAGATGCTGAGTGTTGTAACTTGCAAGTGAGTCGGACGACTTGTAGTATGTCCCGCTGAATACCCCAGATAAGCGGGGCGTACCGCCCCCAGACGGGGTAGCGTGACCGCTGCCCGTTGCGAAGAGGAACCGCCTCTCTCAACATTCGTCCTCCCTAGAATAAATTGATGGATTCTTAAGAGCATTGTATTTCTAGTTACTTCACATATCTTCTGGGGCGATTGGAATAGAGTGAGATTAATACATAGTGAGGAGACTGCTTGGCAAAGTAACAGTGGCCTGAAGCATCGTACTCAGGATATTCGCCGACGTCACGGCATAGAGAATGCCCTCGCTTTACGAACTTTGTTTCCCAATCCCTCATCAAGAATGTATGGTCGCCTTGCTAGGCTTTGGCTTGCTTCATTACTCTCGTTTTCCGAATTTTCCCCTCATATTGAAGCAAAAGGAGGAATCTTACCCCACGGGGTGTCATCCAACTGTATCGGAGGTGTATCGGTAGCAGTATCGGATACCGTACCGGATGCTGTATCGGCAGGTGTTATCATGTGTGTGCCGAGAGCAGCTTCTTCTAACATCAATGACCCATTGATCGACGCGCCCTACCGGCTTTATAAATGTATTTTCCATGATTACTTGTCCAGACGGGATTGCCAAAAGTTGATTATGCATTTATAATTCGACATAATCACTGTGGTTGGGTTGTGGTCCAAGACGCTGATGGGGAGCCCGATACTACACTTGCTTTCGTCTATGACGAGATCGTTAGGCATGTTGACCAGTTCAGAAAATTAACCTTGACTCTATTATGGCCCACTACAATTCTACAGTCTTTGAGGAACCAAAATATCTGCGTCGTAAATTAAGAGGCAGCGCAGAAAGGCCACCTTGATGCTTTATCTTATTACATATATTATAACACCACCCGTCTTTATGGTACAACCTCAGAAAGACCCCAATCTCCAAAGTATATGTTTCCCATCCAAGATCATATTATCGAATACAAGGGAGAGAAAAGAAAAGGGTCAAAAGACACGACCTACTCCTTCTTACCAGCGGCCTTGTCATCCTCCGACTCACTCCAGTCCAGTAGCTCCATAAGCTGTTCCTCAGAGAGATTGTGTGTCCGGCTCTCAGCCTCCTTCTCCAGGTTCTTCATGTACTTCTTCTGTCTCTTCCGAGCGTTCTTTCCCCACTCAGGGACGCCGCTCGCCGTCGCGAAGTCCTCTCCATCTTCAATCTCATCGTCCGTGTTCTCCACTTCTCCGAGGACTCGACCAGCTCCGGCGCCGCCACGAAGCTCATTAGCTGACATCTTCGCCTTCTTTCCATCCTTCTTGGCTTTTTCCTTCTCCAGCTGCTTCTTGCGGTCTCGGTCATGCATGAACTTGAAGAAACGCTCGATGTATGGCCGGACGAGAATGTAGCCAATCACGGACAGAATGACCTTCGTCCAGCGGTTGATGCTCACATCGGCGAAGGAGGCATAGAGGTTTCCGAAGAATCGGGTAAAGATGGTCTCAAAGAAGCTGTAGAGTTGACCGAAAAAGTCGTTGAGAGCGTCAGCGGCAACTTCGCCGGGATCGCGGGTTGCCATTTTGGAAGATATGTTTTGTTTTCAGGTCTGAAGTGGCTGTGTGTCCGAATGCTGCTGGGTTGCGTAGAGGGGAGGTCGCCGGCTTTGGCCGGAAGATAGTGGATGTTTTGTTGGGAAGCTTTGTCGTGGGGTTTCGGAGGCTCAGGAGGCAGGCTCGCGGATCGTATATAGTGAGTTGATTGCAAGGCAATTGTTCTGCCTGACAGACCGACACGACAAGAGTAAGGAGAAGTCCCTGGTTCGGTGAACAGGCGTGGAACTCAATGGACAGTAGAGAAGAATTCCGAATGTGGAAATGGGTCGTTCGGGTCTAGCGTCATTCCGCGTTCGGAGTTATGGATTCTCCGGGAGGGGCTGAGAAGCCAATCACAACTGATCTCGATTTGTATGTACGCTCAACGCGTCTTCTGGGACACGAGCATCGCGCGTCGAAGACTGCTGGATCGATCAACGATATATCCCATCCTGTCGCCACGGACACAAGCCTGTTTCGCAACAACTATCAATTTTGCCATAGATCAAGCATCTTGCTTTTCCGATAGCCTCGATCGAGAATGGAGCAGAACGAAGAAGTCAATCTTGAAGAGGTAAGTATACATCATCCATAGCATACATGGCACACAGTAACAAATCGTCTTGCAGCGCTTGAAATCTGCTCTCTGGTTATCGATTGGAAAGATCGTGGATGAAGAGACCATTAAGCTTGGTGTCAACGCCACCCCTCAGTTCATCGGAGCTTTGACTGAAATGGTCTGGGCCCAGATTGGTAGGTTCAATGTGTACACCACCAATTCGCAGACGATTCTTCATGCCGTTCATTCATTGCATGGTGGCTTTCGTCATGTATCGATCACTGTAACCTGTAGCTGACTAAGGATGATGAACAGAGACGGTCAGCCAGGATCTGGAGTCATTTGCTAAGTAAGCCAGATCCCTAAGCCTAGATTCCCAATTAGCAGGGCCTGGTTACCTTGTTTTGATGTGGTCGTGACCTTCCAGGGGCGATCTGGATAAGGATATGCTTGACCCTGGTTCCGGGCTAACACTCGGCATTTCCTATTTAGGCATGCCGGGCGCTCAACAGTCAATGTCGCAGATGTGATGCTACTTGCACGCCGTAACGAAGGACTGGAGTCTATTCTACGAGCATTTGTTGAGCAACAGCGTGAAGAAGAAGCTTAATTGGTTGGGATAAATCCCCACGTCTGAGCTTTGCGCGGCTTCACGCAGCTTTGCGACTAAAGTGTGGCAGCGGGAGCAGATAAGGCGGCTGCCCATCGCTACCATCCAAAATTGCCGCTACCTTTATTCTAGAAGCCTGCGCGCAGTGCTGCTGATCTCTTGAGACTGACAAGTGCTGGACACCAATGATAGAACGATCTGGTTGCCCCGTTTCGTGTGACAGCTGCGGGACTGGGTATTACTCAGTGTCATGTGTCGGATTCCCGGAGATATGACGCCACTGCCTAGCACCCCACAAAGTGAAGAATCGAGCTTCACTCCCCAGACTCCATCTCAAGCCACCCCGTTCTGATTCTTGGCCGCTTGCAGTTGAGCCACTTCTCAGCCAAATATTTGAACCTGAATTAGCGCCACTCAGTTCCAGCAAATCACAAGCTGCTAGTTGGAGCACTATTTTTATACGCAGGCCAGTAGCTTGGCGTCGCGCAGGAGAATGCAACATCATGGATGTTGTAATGGTTGTCAAAGGAACGAGATGCAAATGAACCAATCAAACTCGACGGTCACTTCATACATCATGATCTGTCAAACCTAATTCAGACGAGCAGCTTATAGTACGATAGATCTATGATCTCGGGTGATCATGATCAACGTCATAAAAACGTCTAGGATGCTGTTCGCCTTATCTACTCTACCACAGTTAGCTCTCCATATAAGATAATTGAATATTTCGACTTCCCCAGGTTATACACTACTAGTACTGTATTTCTACCAGATGACTACAGAGTATACAATTCTCACTGTTGTCGAAGACACCAGAATTTGCGTCTGCAAAAATGTTGAACACTGCAACCGACTCTGTCAACACTTATCGAACAACCCTTAAAACCACGCCTGTCATGAAGGCAGCGCGCTTCCACGGTCGCGGCGACATCAGGGTTGAGGAAATTGAAGAACCCACTTGCGGCAAAGGGCAAGTGAAGGTGCGCTTCACGCACATGGCAATTGCGATGTATGCGCTGACAGATCTACTCATAGATGCGACCATCATTTGTTGGAATATGTGGCAGTGGTGAGTTCACGATCGACTTCTGTGTCGAAGACCCCCAAACTTACTCTCAAAAGACATCCACGAATACTCCGGAGGCCCTGTTCTAGTTCCAGAAAAGCCTCACGCAATCACGGGAACCAGCTTGCCAGTAACACTCGGTCACGAGTTCAGCGGAGTCGTTGAAGAAGTCGGAGAAGACGTGACCCATATCTCGCCGGGACAACGAGCGGTTGTGCGACCGACCATCTTCGATCGAGAATGCACGCCATGCAAGCAGGGCTATGAACACTGTTGCGAGAAGATTGGTTTCATCGGGCTTTCAGGTACGTACATATCCCTACAACATATGGTATACATGCAGACCTACATACTAATTAACTTGGTAGGCTACGGCGGTGGATTAGCGAAATACATCGTAGCACCCGCAGAACACTTCTATACGATTCCAGACAATGTGTCTCTCGAAGCAGCGGCATTAGTCGAACCGTTGGCAGTAGCCTGGCACGCCGTGAACATATCGCCATTCAAGCCAAATGACAACGTCTTGGTGCTCGGGGGCGGACCTGTCGGTATTGGGATCATCCAGGTTCTCAAATTACAGGGGGCAAAGAACATCATGGTCGCGGAGTTGACGGAGAATAGGAAGCGGTTTGCTTCCAATTACGGCGCAACTCATATTCTGGATCCGCGAGAGGTGGACGTCGCTACAAAGGCACGCGAGTTGACCGATGGCGTGGGAGCGGATGTTGTTTTTGATACGGCTGGTGTGGAGGTGGCTTTAAACGGTGCCATCGCCGCATGTCGAACGCACGGAACAATCGTAAACATTGCTGTGTGGGAGAAGCGACCAGCCATCCGAGTCAACGAGTTGATGTATAGTGAAGTCAATTATACGGGGTCAGCACTGTACGATGAGAGTGCGTTCCGAGAAGTCATCCGAGCACTTAGTTACGGTGAGTTGTGCGGTCTCGTTCTAGTACTTATCAAACGTTCCTGATCTTTATCTAGGGCAATTAAAACCCGAGCGGATGGTCACGTCGAAGATCAAGCTGGATGACATCGTGGAGAAGGGATTCCAGGCTCTATTGGATGATCGGGACTCCCACTGTAAGATATTGGTTGATGTCCAGGCTTCATAATACAGGGCATGAACCCTAGCCACTATATCATAATCAATGCCTTGCCTTATTGCCACATGCTGCTTAGACATGATAATAGATGATTGTTATCAGGAGCCATATCGGCTTCGAGTGATAATATAGTACTGGCTACCGTATCGTTTTGTAGTAACTACTATCAGGGTTTGCATAGTACTATGACTATATAGTGGGCTAATTGTTTGGACAAAATATGCAAGGTGCTTCCCATTTGGACTTTACAAGTAGAGCTCTGTATTTCTCAAAGTAGACAACGTATAAGCATCAAGTGGAGATTCTTTTAAAAAAGTGTACCCGTGAAGAAACCGGTGACAATATTATTTTCCAAAAAGTCCCGCCACTCTGTATTCCCGATATCTTAGCTATCTGCCAAAAGCATTCCCCTCGTGTTAGACACGTTCCTTGACGGTGGCTTTAACATGATAATTCGAGTACGCGATGCCGGAGTCTGTATCCTTGTCCCACACGAACCTATCCTTATCCAACATTTTCAGATCAAAGCGATAGACCATCAAAGCGGCCGTCAACCGAAGAACCTGCAGGGCTAATTCCTTCCCAAGACAAGCTCTAGGACCCGAACTAAACGGTTTAAACGCCTCATGCACATCCCGAGCATAAGGACTGCCCTCACCACGCTCGTACCAACGCTCGGGGCGGAATTCATCCGGGGCATGCCAGTACCGGGGACTCCGCTGCATACTATACGTCTCGGTATAGACTTCGGTTCCAGCCGGGACGTAGATGCCATCAATCATCGCTCCAGGCGACAGACGGGACGTAAGCTTGCCCGCCACTGCGGGAGTAAGACGGAGAGTCTCGTAGACACATCCATTCAGGTAGGGCAGTGGCAGCAGTTTCTTCCCAGTGATATCATCAATGCTCTGGAAGTTGCGCAAGAGTTCGCTTTGAAGTTCTTGGATCACTCCTGGAGTTGCTAGAAGTCGGTAGAATAACGCTGACATGATTGTCTCGGTTGACTTGTAGGCGGCGAGCCTATAAAGAGAAGGAAAGCGCGATTGCTTCAGTCATTGTTGCAACACGCTCTATTGTGCTACCCATGTTGGGTCTCAAGTGTCTGAGGGGGGGGGGGGGG